TGAGAATGTGGCACTGCACAGCTTTTCATCAGTGTTCACTCCTTCTTCCTTTTGCTCTCAGAAAGCTCAGGGTTAAGAATGCTCCACAAACATTTATAAATAACAAGTATCAAATCACTAGGGTGTGATGGCACATTTTATAAATCACCTACATAAAAGTAAGGAAACCCAGAAATTTAGAAACCTCTGAGAGTCAGGCTGATCACAAAGTAAGCAAGGCCTAGGGTCATTTCCTTTCTTTTTTAGGTCCCTGGGATATTAAAGTAATTAATAAACAACAAAACATGGTGTTTTGGTTATCTGTAACAAACCACCTCAGAACGTAGTAGTTAATACACATTCATTCATTTGCTCACAATTATTCCGTTTGGGCTCAGTAGGGAGAGCTTGTCACCTGTTCCATGTAGCAGTGACTATATTCATCTGGAAGTTAGACAGGCTGTGACATCCTCTGGTTCCCTCTCATGTGGCCTCTCTGCATCCAGTGGGGGAATCTGAGCTTCTACCACAGTAGTGGGATCCCAGGAGGGTCAGGGAAAAAGCTGCCAGGCCCCTAAAGGCCTAGACCTGGAACTGGCCACTTCTCTTGGTTGAAGCAGGCCAGCCCAGGTGTAAGGGGAGGGAAATGAACACCTTCGATTGGAGGAGCATGGAGCCTACAGAGAAAGGAAGAGTTGTTGACTGTCATATTTGGAGATGCCTACCATATGGGATAGTAAAAATTGTGGTGTTTGCATTTAACACTTTAACACTTTTGACATAAAAGTGTGCAATGACTGTCTGATGAACCTCTTTGAGTATAATATCAACATTCTAAATTGAAGGCGGGGCCCAAAGAGCCCTTATTGCTTCCTCCTGTCTTAGAGTCTGTTGTTCTGGAACCTTAGAGTGAAGGAAGTTCTTTCTCTCTCTGAGTCCTGAATTATTGTGTAATTTGTAACAGGCATCAACAGTCATTCATTCCTAAGGGCACTTATCCTTCGGAAAGTCCTTGTTCCTTTTACTGTAGGTATACTGAGGTCATAGGAAAAACTCCCCACCTACCTGGTAGAAGCACTAATCTCTTCCCACATGTCTGCCCCGTAGAGTGTGATGGGGTCATTAGTCCGCATACCTGCCATGCAGCAGCCACTCCCTGTATGGAAAGGTGGAGTCTCACCTGTAGGGTGAGGTGATCCTGTGGCATTTAATAGTGCCAATTAGCAGTGGAGGGGACACGTGCTGTAAGTCTGAAGTGAGGAGGATGCACCAAGGGGCTTTGGGAGCTTGCATGAGAATTTGGGGGCTGTGGTCAGACAGTGTCTGTAGCTGCGATGGGGTGAAGAAGATGGAACTGAACAGAAAAACAGCCAGGCCAGGTGCTGGAAAGTTGTGCCAGAGCCTGACAATAAGACAGAAACTACTGTGGGATCACACACACTGCTATTTTGGGGACATAGGTGTGTTTTTCTTTAAATTTGTTTTATCTATCTATCTGTCTATCTATCTATCTATCTATCTATCTATCTATCTATCTATCTATCCATCCATCCATCCATCCTCACCCGAGGACATTTTCCCATTTTTTGTTCAGACAGAGTGGGAGGGAGAGAGAAGAAGAGAGAGCGCAAGAAACATCGACGTGAAAGGGACACATCAAGTGGCTGTCACCCGCAGGACCAACCAGGGCCGGGGACAAACTGCAACCGAAGTACTCGCCCTTAGCGAGAACTGAACCCGGGTCTCTCTGGACCACAGGCCGATGCTTTCTTTAACTGCTGAGCAAAACCGGCCAGGGCCAGTTGTTTGTATTTTATATAATTAGGTCCTTTTTGTCCTTAGTGTTTAGTACATTTTTAAAATGCTAGTCTGGTCAGCTGTGCTAAGAAGAACCAAGAAAGAGGTTTTTGTCCAGTTTGAACCAGAATTTTAAAGGGGAAGCAGCTTACCAACTGCCTGACAAGAGAGAGAGAGAGAGTCCCAAAGGGAAGGTAAACTCAGGGCAGCTGAGTTGGAAACTCTTGTTCAGAAACTCTCCCCACAGAGAGGTATGTTTATCAAATCTGGATCTCTCCCTCCATCCCCACAGTCTGTTATTCCCTAGTGGCCCAGACAAGAGGCAGAAGGGACCTCAGTGAACAATGAGAAGGAAGACTGAATTGGGGTTGGTGGCTCAGGGCTGGTGCAGGTAGGAGTTTGCTCCCAAGAGTGGAGCCAGCAAACAGAAAATCTGGGCTTTGTCGGGAGATGGGGTTCAATTTGAGCCTGAACTGCTGTATGCCAAATACTCAGGCAGGTAGGTTGCCAATTTTTTTTTCTAGTTAATGAGAGAGGACACACACAGACTGCAGAAGTCACCTAGGAAGAGGATAAGGGGATGAATGGGCTAGCATGGCCCCTTAAGCAAACTAAGGCACAGGGCAGAGCTTAGCTAGATAGCTGGAATCCACAGCAGAGATGGGCCATGGCCAGTGTGGGTCAGTGGTTAGAGCATCGGCCCATGCACCAGAAGGTCTTGGATTTGACTCCTGGTCAAGGGCATGTACCTAGGTTGCAGGTTTGATCCCGGCCTACGTCAGGGGGCGTTCAGGAAGCAATCAATCAATATGTCTCACATCAATATTTCTCTCTTCTCCTCCTCCCTCCTTCCTTCCACTCTCTCTAAAAATCAATGGAAAAAATATCCTCAGGTGGGGATCAACAGAAATAAAAAATAAAATAAAGCAGAGATGAGGCAGAATTAGGGGTAAGGAAAGGCTGCTGATTGTAGATACATGAGATCAGGGAAGCACACAGCCACTGTGGCCATGACACTTGGAAGACATGAATCATTCCAGACCCCATCCAGGTCTGGTTCTCTGGGGCTGCTGCTTGAAGACCTTTAGTAGCTTCAGCTGGGTAGAGCTGGGGGTGGGCAGCGACTGTCACTGCCAATGTCCCAGCCCTCCCCTTACATACTGTTCTAATTATATATAAATCTGAGTAATACACTACATCAAAAATTAAGTGGCTTAACACACAATCCTTTTTTTGGTATTTTGGGCAGGGCAAGGAGGGATCACTCTGCTCCATATGTCTACCGCCCATGACTCAAATAGCTGGGGACACGGGAGGGCCAGCAGGCGCTCTCTTCCTGCAGGCTCAAGGCATCTCTCTGTGGTCTCCTGTGTTCTCTCCAGCATGGAAGTCCCACTGCACCTGACTTAGTAGTGGCTCAGAGCTCTAAGAGCAACAATTTCCAGAGGCCCAGGCAAAAGTTGTAAGACATTTGTCATCTAGCTTCAGAAGTTCCAGCATATGGTGATTTCAACCACATTCTATTGATTTAACAAATCACTAAATACAGCACAAATTCAAGGGAGGAGATATAGATATCACTTCTCGTTAGAAGCGGCAAAGAATTTGCCACTATTTTTTAACGCATCACAGCATCTCACCAAGTCCTTAGCAAAGTCTTCCAGCTGAATTCCGTGTCCCCAGATTCTCACTGATGGCAGCTGGGAGGCAGCAATGCACAGGGTAGGAAAGTGAGGGTTTCAGAGGCCACTAGGCCTGCATTCTGGTCCAGGCAGGATCCACCACTCGGCAACTGGTTGAGCTTGTTAGGCTGCTACCTGTCTTATGGAGCCGTGGTTTCCTTGTGTATAAAATGGGAATACTATTACTATAGCAGCCAAGAAAATGTACTTCTCTGATCTTCCAGTGCAGAGCATAATTGACCAAATGGCCCTGCCCCAGCTGCTGAGCTCTGAATTCTGTCCTCTGATATTCATCTGTCAGTACCAAGGCCAGTTTGCTAGGGCTTCTCCTAGCCCATGACTAAGCACAAGAAGCCTATGCCTGGAAAGTGCCAGACTCCTGGGATAGGCCAGTTTGGCTTGAGGACTCTCCAGGGCCTTGCTGAACTTTCTCGGAGTTGCACTGTAGTAGAAGATGCTTCCTTCCACGCCTCTCTCCTTCTCAAGGATCACACCTGAATCCCAGGCCCAGCTCTCCGTCCATTTCCCTCATAAATCTCTTGCACAATGCTCCTGTCTGACTGTTTTTGAGGGACTGGGACAAACAGCCACCTGCTCACAGGCCCGCTGTGGGTTATTAAATAAGTGGGAGTATGTAAGCACCGAGCCAAGGCCTGGCACATAGTTGGCATTCATTCCACTAATATTTATTGAGCCCCTGCTGTGTGTAGGCTTTAGCCTGGGTGCCTGGGACATAATGGTGAGCAAAGCTGATGTCAAGGGCAGGGCCACCTGCTTGAAGCTTCTTGCTGACTCCCACTGCTGAGAGATAAAGTCCCAACTCTTCTATGGGACACACAAAGAGCCCTTCAAAGTCTGACCCCAGGAGGCCTCAACACCTCCCACTCCACATGCTGCACACCTGAGCTTATCATCAAAAGGCGCTTCATTCTTTCCCCCTGCAAGCTTGCTCTTCCTTCCCCAGTGTCTTAGCACACCTTTTTCTTCTCCTGGGAATGCCTCTTCTCCCTTGTACACACCCCTTGCGTGACAAACCCTTACACATCCCCCCAAACCCAATTCAACTGTGGGGTCCTACGGCACAGGGCAGAACGAGCTTGGTGGCACAGATCCCCGCACGATCCTTATAAAGACAGTGTTACATTGTACTATAACTGCTGCAACAATGTCCCCGCTAACTTGTGAGCTTGTCGGTAGCAAGGGCAATGTCGTATCCCTTCTGAATGCCCACTGCTTGGCACTTGGTAGGCCCGCAGTAGGTATCTGCAGAGTAGGTAAGTGAATGAGCCAAGGAGGCAGGCGACTTTTGGAGGCGACCTCGGGGCCGGCAGCGAGCCGCAGGGGTGGTGGGAGGTGGCGGGGCCTGTGGGGTGTCAGGGAGCCGCAGGCGCTGGGGGACCGCCTGGGACAGGCACGGCTGGCACGGGCCGAATCGCAGCCTCCGCCGCGGGCACATGACTGCGGGCTCAGCCTCCGCCCCGCCCGCCGCCCGCCTCCCGCCAGCTGCTGGCTGCGGCCTCCCTCCCGCTCGCGGAGCGCTGGCGAGCGTCACGGCCTGCGGCTCCCTCTCGGGCTCCTGAGCTGCGCCGGGTGGGCGCCGGGGCCGCCCTGGCGAGGGAAACCGAAACCAAAGCGGCTCGTTCAACTCCCGCCCGCCAGCCAGGTGCCCCGCGGGCCCTCCCGCCCTCCAAGGATCACGGAGCCCGCGCACCGCGGCCGGCGGGCGTCTGAGGGTCCCGGGTCTTCCTGCCGCGGTCCCGCCCTGCTCCCGAGCCGCGCGCAGGATGGGCAGGTGCTGCTACTACGCGGTGGGGACACTGTCCCTGCTCCTGCTGGTGACCAGCGTCACGCTGCTTGTGGCCAGGGTCTTCCAGAAGGCCGTGGACCAGACAATAGAGAAGGTGAGGCGGGGCTGTGTGTGTGTGTGTGTGTGTGTGTGTGTGTGTGTGTGTCTGTGCGCGCGCGCCGTGGGCGTTGGGGGTGGGGTGGCACTTCCAGTCCTCCCTCCCACTCCTGAACCTTGTGCAGGAAACATTTGCACCTCTGCAAACCCTCCGGATTGGAGCCCTGCTCTTGTCTTCTCCGCGTTGGTACGTAAGGGTTAAAGAAGGATAGAAGGATGGAGAGGAATGGAAATGACTGTGTTCCCTTTATAACAATAAGACTGTGGATCTTTAAAAAGAGCTTTCACTTATATTCTATCATTTGCATCTCCACCCCCAGCCCCAACACCGCACTGCCTACATCCTGATCTCTTTTGGGCCCAAACACATTTCCCTCCTACTTCATGAACACAAAACTAAATGAAAGACACCACAAAAGAGGCACGTTTGTTGTCTGCTTGCTGTGGCCTTTGAAGTGGTGTGGGGCTCCAGGTGAGAAGAGGGTGTGTACTCTATTGTGTTCTTGCCTTCCTGGGCTGGGCAGGGCAGTTGGTAGCCAGGCCAGGCCTCTGGGCTGGGTGACATTTGAGTCCATCAAAGCCTGTGCCTACCCGCCTGCTTAGCAGGGTGGTATCTTGTACCAACAGTCTGTGTTGCTTTGTCTCATCATTGATTCTTGCTCTTAAACAGCCATAAGCTTCAGGCAAAGATGCATTTATTGATTCTTCAAAGAATCTGAATCTGCCTCTTCCCCTAGATAAGTGAGCTGGAGAGCGAGCTAAACATTTCAGAAGACTTCTCTATCATTTAATATCACGTGTGGTCATTTCATCTGCCTTTTCACTCACATCCACCAATCTGTGTGGAAAGAGGAACAAGAGAGAGTTACTGCGATCACTTTTTCCTTTCAAAAAAATCATTGCAGCACCCTTTTGTTTCTGTTAGCCACCCATACTGCATGCTTCATTTCCCCACTGGCTTGCACTTGCTTCTGGCTGGGTAAAAAATCCCAGGCCTCCTCCAGTTTGAGCACTGCACTGACTCCCTGTTAGTAAATTGTTACATTCTAGTGGCAACAGACATGTTCCTTCCATAGATGTTTCCAAAAGCCTTCAATTACTTGCAAATCCGCAGTTAAAACCAACTTAAAAAAAACCCCGCCATAGCCCTGGCTGGTTTGGCTCAGTGGTTGGAGGAGCATCAGCCTGCAGACCAGAGTCCTGGGTTTAGTTCCTGCTAGGAGTACATAGCAAAAAAAAAAAAAAAAAACCACCATAGAAAAAGCATAACTTAACTTTTTAAAGTACACTTTGCCAAGGGAAGATGAAGCCCATTGTCTGAGTTCTTGAAGACTATTGTTTTCCCTGAGCACCCATGTTCAAGGAAAAAACAGAACAGAATATTCTTCACTCCTGTCCACCTGGATATCCCTGGCAAGATTGTTTAAAAATATAAACTCTTGCTTAGGTGACTAGAGTCAAACAATCCAATTATAGTCAATATATGAATTTTTTTATGTGGCTTTGAAAGAACGGCTGTTTCAGGAGAGATCTATGAGACCAGTGATCTCGGCAGTGCCCCAGGCATTACCGGCCTTCAGGTGCTCTGTGGGTCTGTACTTCATGGGGGCCAGGGGTACCTGTAAGGCATTTTGGCTGGGGCTTGAGTTTGCATTGATATTTGGTGACTGGCTTTTCTTGAGGTATTCTCCATGAGAATTGGGCTCTGATCCAACCAATAAGTTATAGTGCAGGGTAAGTGGACTTTCAAACTTGCCCAGCCCCATTAAGGAACACTGTACAGTGTGGTATATGAATCCAAATGACAGGCCTAACTTCAGTGGACAGATATGAGGATATTAAAAGTCAACCAGAGGTTTCATTTTCCCACTATTACCATTCTGCTGTTCTGGATCATCTGTAGGGTGGTAGCATGGAATAGTGGGAAAGAAGAAGCATTCTGCAGGTCAACACTCCTGAGCACAAATCCAGTGTACTAGCCAGGTGACCTTTTGCTAGGTAGGTGCTTAACCTTTCTTTTTTTGTTTTGTTTTGTTAATCCTCACCCGATAATTTTTTTTCCCATTGATTTTTAGAGAGTGGAAGGGAGGGAGGGAGAGAGGGAGAGGGAGAGAGGGAGAGGAACATCGTTGTGAGAGACACATCACATCAATTGATTGCCTCTTGCATGTGCCCCTACTGGGACTGGGGATTGAACCTGCAGCCCAGATACGTGCTCTTGACTGGGAACTGAACCCATGACCTTTTGGTACTCAGGCCAACACTCTAACCACTTGACCACACTGGCCACAGCTGCTTAACCTTTATTGATTCTTGATTTCTCCATCTGTAAATGGTTCACATAAATAGAAATGTTATAAGAATTCTTGAGGAACATGGGAGTAATTTTCATGGGATATAGTTAGTACTTTGTAAACAATAACAGTCTTATTTTTTTTGTTAGAAGCCATGTAAGCAAAGAAAAAAATACATGAGATTGCAAGCCAAACACCTGTCTTCAAATCCTAGCCTTGCCATTTACAAGCTTTTTGGCTTTGGGCAAGTTCTTTACCTTCTCCGAGCCACAATTTCATTACTTGGAAAAGCAAAGATGTTAGCTGTCTTGGGCACCGAGCTGCATTTACCATGAAACTCACAAAGCTTAAGCTTAGGGCCCATCACTTGACAAGCCCTTCCAAGGCCCTGTACCTAATTCTGCATCCAAAATTTTACTTTCCTTAGGAAGGGCCTCCTCACTTTAAATAAGCTACACACGGACCCTGGATCTGCCTCTGTGTGTGTGTGTGTGTGTGTGTGTGTGTGTGTGTGTGCTGTTGTGAGTCTGAGTGAGGCCCTCTGTATAGAGCACTCAGCACAGTATCAGGCACAGAATAGAAGCTCAATTATAGCCGCGTCATTATTTCTAATAGTGTCACGATTCATTCAGAACTTGACTCTAATATAATTGTAATATAATCCACTCTGATACTTCAAGTTCTTAGTTGTTTCATTTGATGAATGCCTATGCCCTGGCTTGGCTGCATCAAAAAGAGAAGAGAGGCCCTGGCCAGTTTGGCTCAGCAGTAAGCGCGTCGCCCATGGACCAAAGAGTCTCGCGTTCGATTCCGGCCAAGGGCACATACCTCGGTTGCGGTTTGTCCCCAGCCCCAGTTGGGGTTGTGTGGGTGGCAACCAATCGATGTGTCTCTCTCACATGGATGTTTCTTTCTCTCTCTCTCTTCCTCCAGCACTATCTGAAGATTAATGTAAAAATATCCTCAGGTGAGGATCAAACAAACAAAAACAAAAAGAGAAGAGAGGAAAGGGATGAAATTCTAATGCGTAGTTTTGGCTAATTTCGAGAAGCTTAGTAGCATAATTCCTATCAGAAGAATTTGTCTCAAGTGATAATTGTCCTTGAGTCCTACAGTGATCAGAGGCGACTGAAGAGAGATTTTAACTTTGACCAGTGCACAGAGTGGAAAGAACCCAAACTAGTTGGCCTCACTGGTTACTGGCTTGTATTGGGCAATCCCTGTAGTTGTTTTCTGTTTAACTTTTCTTAATTGCAAAAGAGGTCTAGTGATGTTTCCCTTTTATCTGCCCACATTCATTTTCTGGGGGATGTTCTGAGCATTGAACAGGCCTTCAATGGAGCGTGTTGATTCCCCTGAAGACAGAGCTTTGCACAGACCCAACAATCGCTTTTCCTCTGTAGAGCCTAGAAGGGCAGGGTTTTATGTTACCTTTCATTTCATTTCTTTTGGTAACCCCACTGATTGTCTTGGCACCCAGCACAGTGCCTGGTACGTGGCAGGTACAGAATGAAAGCCTGTTGCCTCACTATTGATCATTTTAGTTGAAAGAACAGTTTCCTGAGAATCAGCAGAACATGGTTAAAATTCCTTTTTCTGTCACTAACAAATACTTGAATTAAATGGAACAAACTGAGTAGCAAATTATTGAACCCCTCAAAACCTCACTTTCCTCATTTTGAAATTGAGGTTAATAAGAATAGCTCCTTTAGGGTTGTTGCAAAAATGAAATAAAGTGATTGATGTAAAGCATCTAGCACAGTCCCTTCCACAATGCCCAAATAGTAACAATTGTTGTTGTTTCTGGTTGTTTTTTTCTCATCCAGAAATGTAAGCTTATATAGTCGATAAGGTTCCTTCTAGCTCCAGAATTCTGAGAATCTATGAGATGGGCATGTGACCTTTGCTTGAGAGCAATAGTGCAGCTCAGAATATTAATTTGGCCTTGGACTTGCTGGTACTTTGAATATCCCCCAGAAATGTGGATACAGACCTGGCTGAAGTCAGGGCCAGTCAATAAGAGATGCGCTGGCAAGGAAACCAGTGAATAGGAAAGAGAAGGTTCATGTTTCGCTTCCTATTTGCTTCCTGCAGGCCAAAGAAGGATGATCGCATTAGGTCTCAGGGATAAGATGAACAGGACAAACGCACTTACCCTTTGCCAGAACCTGAGGCTCTGGGTAAGTGAGTCCCAGCTGGCCTCTTTTGGGAACCATAGCAACTGTGGAGCTTCTGCTGATGCCTCAAGAAATATAATTACTGATTATTTAACCAAATAACACTGATTGGTGAATATGCACAGGTTTTTTTAAAAGTCAAATTAGTAAAGTATCTTCATTGTTGTTTATCTGAAGTCAATCATCTATATATAATCTTTTTTTTTTAATCCTCACCTGAGGACATTTTTCCATTTTTTGTTCAGATAGAGTGGGAGGGAGAGAGAGAGAAACATCGAGGTAAAACAGGGCCGGGGACAAACTGCAACTGAGATACGTACCCCGCTAAGGGAACTGAACCTGGGTCTCTCTGGACCTCAGGCCGAGGCTCTAACCGCTGAGCCAAATCGGCCAGGGCCTATATATAATCTTTTTTTTTTTTTTTTTTTTAAATATGGAATGCTTCACGAATTTGCGTGTCATCCTTGCGCAGGGGCCATGCTAATCTTCTCTGTATCGTTCCAATTTTAGTATATGTGCTGCCGAAG